AAGGGAACAGCCTTATCGTATTCTTCGCCTTCGCCAGAGACACAGAAAGTGGAACTTTGTCCTAACTACCTCCAGATTTTCCTTTCACATGCTTTTCAAATAGCAACAAAACTAGCTATTTTTAATTTTTTATTAACATGTATTACTTGTACCTATTAACGGGCTTTGATGTCAGATTTCAAAACATTTATATTGTGCACTGATCAAATCATTAGCATTACTTTATGTTTGGAGACATAAAGTACTTCTCTTCCAAGTCTTTGTATCATAAGTCATTATAAAATACAGTCATCCAATTATACCGTGAAGCACTAGAACTTATTCCTGCTATCAAACTGCGTTTTGGTTCCCATTAGTCAACCTCCTTTCACTCACTCTCCTTGCCACCATACTTCCTAACCTCTCATAATCACTATTCTACATTCAGACCATGTTTTTTAATCTCCCTGTATGAGACAGACCATACAGTAGTATCTTTGTGTCTGGCTTATTTCATTTAGCATAATGTCTTCTGGTTCCATCTAATTTGCTGTGAGTCACAGAATTTAATTCATATTTATCACTGGATTATAGTCCTCCCATGCACCACATTGTGTATACACCATATTCTCTCTATCCATTCACTCACTGATGTACACCAAGGTTGATTCCATGTCTTAGCTATGGTGAAGAGTATGCCACAAGGAAAGGGGAATGCAGGCATCTCTTTGGTGTGCTGATCTCCTTTTCTTTGGATATGGACTATTTATTGACAATTTGTATTTCTTATTTTGAAAAGTGTCTACTCAGATAATTTTCCCATTTTTAAAAATTTGATTGTTTTCTATCAAATTTTTTATTCCTTGTGCATGCTAGATATTAATCCTTTGTCAGATAAATCACTACTATATATTTTCTCCCATTTTTTCTATTTGCTATAATTTTTTTTCTGTTTACTTTGTCATCATCCAATTTGTCTATGTCCACTTTTTTCCCCTGTGCTTTTAGGGTTATCTCTAAAAAAATCAGTGCCTATGCTGATGTCTTGAAGTATTTTCCTTGTGTCTTCTTATAGCGGCTTCATAATTTCAGGCCTTATATTTAGGCTTCTCATCTATTTTGAGTCCATTTTTGTATAGAATGAGAAATGAGAGTCAAGTTTCAATCTTCTGCATAAGGATATACAGTGTTTCTAGCATGATTTATTGAAGAGTGTGCCCTTTTGCCAATGTATGATTTTGGTTCCTTTGTTGAAATCATTTGACTGTAGATGCATAGGCTTATTTCTGGGACCTCTCTTCTGTTCCTTTGGTATACATGTTTGTTCTTATACCAGTACTACACTGTTTTAGTTAGTATGATTCTCTAGTAAATGAAATGACATATTGTGATGCCTCTAGACTTGTTCTTTTTATTCAAGATGGCTTTAGCTATTCAGTGTCTTTTGTGCTTCCATATGAACTTTACATTGTTTTTCTAGATTTTTGAAGAATACCACCAATGACTTTCTGTGTTTGCATTAAACTTATAAATAGCTTTAGGTAGTATGGACATTTTAACAATATTAATTCTAACTCCTACACAGAAATTTTTATGTCTTCTTTAATTTATTCATCATTGTTTTGTAATTTTCATTGCGAAGCTTTCTACTTTCTTGGTTAAGTTCATTCCTAGATTGGTATACTGGTTTCTTTGCTTGCTTATTGTGATACTAGAGATAGAACTTGGGCCTCACGCATGCGAGATAAGTACCCTACCCCTGAATTAGCTCCTCCCCAGCTCCCTTTTCTCCTCCTTTCTCCTCCTCCTCTTTTGTAGCTATTGTGAATGGGCTTGATTGCTTTCATGATTTGTTTCTCATCAAGCTTATTTTTCTTTGTTTTGCACTACTTAGTATTAAAACCAGGGACTTCACACTGAGCTATATCCTTGGTCCTTTTCTAATTTTCATTTTGAGCAGGGTCTGGCTAAGTCACTTAGTTGCCCAGGCTGGACTTGAACTTGTAATTTTCCTGCCTCAGCCTTCCAGACTACTAGGATTATAGGCCTGTACTCTCATGCATGGCTTTCCATAAGTTTGTTATTAATGCACAAAAATGTTATTGAGTTTTGTGTGCTGATCTGTTTATTCTGCAACTTTACTGAATTCTTTTATCAACCCTAACAGTCTTTTGCTGGATCTTTAGGTTTTTCTATACACAGAATCAGATCATCTGCAAACAGGGATAATTTTACTTTTTCCCTTTTTGTTTGGGTGCCTTCTATTTCTTTCTCTTACTTTCTCTGGCTATGACTTCTGATACTATACTGAATAAGCATAGTGAGAAAGAACACCCTTCTCTTGTTCCTTTTGTTAGAGGAAATCCTTTCAGCTTTTCCCCATTTAGAGTGATATTGCCTGTGGGTTTGCCACATCTAGCCCTAATTATGTTAAGGTAAGATCCTCTTATACTTAATTTGTTCAGTTTTCATCATTTAGGGATGTTGAATTTTATCAAATGCTTTTTGTATAACTATTAAAGTGATCATATGATTTTTCTCATCCTTCATTATGTTGATATTATATATTCAGTTTGTTGACTGGTATGTGTGGAGTCAACCTTGTATCCTTGGGCTAAATAGAACTTGGTCATGGTAAATGATCTTTCATTTACTGTTGGATTCTACTTCCTAGTATTTTGTTAGAATTTTTACATATATTTTCATCAAGGATGTGCGTATATAGTCTTTTCGTGTGTGTGTGTGTGTGTGTGTGTGTGTGTCTGGTGTTGGTATCAGTATTATGCTATCTTTATATAGCTTTTGACCTCCTACTACATGCCAGACTCTGGTATGTGCTTTCCTTCCATTATTTCAATTTACCCTCCAGAAGAAGAAACTGTAAGTAGATTTATCTGAATCTTCACAATACAGATTAGAAAGCTAAGGCTCAAAATGTTAAAACAGTCCCATATGTCACTCAGCTAATATTGCCAGATCTTGACTTTCTGATTTTGCATGTTATTTTGTATTAGTTTTCCTTCAGGCCAACTGATTTCTGAAAACATTAGTTTCCTAGGAAGTCTTCTCTAGGTTTTGCACAAGGATGTGTTCCTTTCTTGGGACTGTCGGGGAGAAGCTACTGTTTTCTAATGGACAGGGGCCCTTATTTTAGCATATACTCCAGAGAATAGCACGCACCTCCAGAATGCCTAAAATTCACATGTTTAAGGCATTTGTCACTCTATCTTCTCAGTATAGGACAATTTCCTGGTATCCATTAACAGAAAACTGTTAGTCTTAATATCAAAAATCTGTCTCTGTCATGAGTTTAGAGGCAAGTTCTAATAATGATTAAATGGTTTAAAATCTAATGTACACAGAAAAGTGAAAGATAGCAATACATTTTATCTTATGAAGGCAAGGAACCAAGCCTTCCTCACTAAATAATGGAACAGGAAAAAAAATGAAGTTGTGCTGCAGCATAAAGATTAGAGAAAAATGTCTGACAATCTTGTTAAATGTGAATATCAGTTAAATTAGGATGCTATCAACTGTCCTCCTTTTGGAAACTTAAGAGACATGGGTTAGGCCTATCTACTGGGGACAGTTTGGTACAGACGTAGATGTATCCTTGCCCAAGGGCTGACAGATGGATCAAATGACCTCTCAGCATCCTTTACATTCCCACACTTCTGTTTTCATATGATCGTGGACTGGCTTGTGAGCTGAGTCAGATTTACCCTTGTAAATTGGTGAAGGAGTCAGCTGCTTAAAAGAAAACAGGTAGACTTCTTGTCCCCAAAATGAAAACCTGAATACTCTCTTCAAGATGAAATTATATCATCAAACATTTACTTTCTTAAGGCAGGAAGTAGTTCTCCTCTTCACCATTTCCCTAAGATGACAAGTAATGGAGCTTATCAGATAAGGGCTTAGCAAACATCAAGTCCCTGCAGCAGGACTAACAACCAAGATGCAGGAAGAGGGAGGCCCAAAGCAGAGGAAGAGATGGAGTGGGGCTAGGCATAGACATCAACTGTCCTTAAAAAAAAATGGGCTGTAAGGTCCTGCAGAAGATAAAGTGCTCCTCCTTCTCTGCCAAGTTATCTCAGTCTCTTGCTGAAGGTAGAACTTCTGCCAGGAACGAGCACCGACCAAGGCACTAGGAACACTAAAGTATGGGAAACAAACATGTCTCACTTCCCTACAAAATGCTGAACACACACCGGATGTGCAGCAAACAACTACAAGAGAGAAGTCTACACTTAAGCAACAAACACTGAATCATTAATCGGCACAAGGTACTGTTCTTGGTAATAACCAAGTGCACAAATCCTAGGCCCTCATGGAGCTTCAATATTGGTAAAAGAAAGGTAAGGAATAAATTGTAGGAATACTAGGAACTGTGGCAAGCAGACCTGCCCTACCTGCCGGAGCCGACCTGAGAACTGAGGTTCTTATTGGCATGTGAAGACCGAATAGAAATTGTAGAAAGATATGAGTTGGTGGAGGAGAAGCCACCTGGAGAATGTTCCATCTGAATCTGTCAAATATTGGGTTAGTAATGGAGCTCATTGATAGAGCATTTGCCTAGCATATAAAAGGACCTAGTTTTAATCCCCAAAACTGAAGATAAAAGTGACTTATGCTATCAATTTGCTTGTGTGGCAGGATGAAGGATAATTTATATCTTTCTCTTTCTCACAGTTATTCAAATATTTATGCAATAAATAACTTTAAAACAATACCCAAGCTATAATTAACACTACTGTACTCATTTTTACCATGTGTTTTTACTGTACCGGTCTTCAAACTATTACCTGTAAATTAAGACCAAATTGTATAAGAGTATGATAAAATTTCAAGCCTGAATTCAAGATCAAATACAAGTTTTACCCTCAAATTATAAACATTGAATCTAATCCCTCCAAAATATTTGCTGTTATTGTACTTAAACAAGATAATACATGTGACATTGTGACATGGATTTTTCCCCACCTACACTGAATGTGAATTACAGGTTGGTTCCTGCACTACAGGTGGACCTGTGGCAGCCCAGCAGTATTTTCTATGTGTCAGAGGGGACAGTTACTGATGTCCACATTCCTCAAAATGCCTCCCAGGCCCTGTTAGCCTTCTTCCAGGAAGCCAACATCGAGTACAAGTAAGAATTCCTTTTTACTTGCTACCAAATTTATCTGTGCTAAATTAAACTGAGTGACAATTGTATTCACATTGTTCAAGTGCTTATGACAGTGCTTTAGTTTTTCATTTTGAGAAAACTGAAGTGGATGTAGTCACCTTTGAAGGGCTGATTAGTCTCGTGGTGGCTGGGAGCAATGACACAGACACACCATTTCACTGTCACCACTATAGGATCAGTGTGAACACAGGCTGTTTTCTGTGTGAAGAGAGGACAGCAGCCTGGCAATGCCTAGAGGGGGATGGGAAGGCACGGCAGGAAAAGGCTTTCTGCAGGAGTCATATCAGCCAGGGAGGCCAGTTGGAAGAAAATCTTCTGAGCATGCAGAGAAGCCCGGACATTATCTTGTGAGTGGAGCTGCCCCCTTGGACAATATCAGCAAGAAGCCACATGTCTGTCTACAGGATAGAGGAGCAGTAAGAGATAACAATAGGAGTCCAGGCAAGGGATGGTGAGGCCCTTAATTAGGACCAGAGTAGTAGAATCAGGAGAGCATTCAAAAAATGTTTCAAAAGTAAAACTACCTGGACTCACCCCCTGGCTGGTGATGGTGAAGCTGAAGTTGTCTCTATTTTTTCTATCCTGGAGAAGTTCACTGAATAGACAGATTTGAATAGATGGGATAGTCTAAGGGTTGTTGTTTTTTTTTTTTTTTAATAAAGAGAACAATAGGAAGAGAGCAAGCAGAAAATACAGGAGTCAAAGAAAAAAGACCACAGGAAATGAAATGGTACCCAAATCCGAGTGCTACAGTGACACCCAGTAAGAAAAGGACCGACCTCCTCTGTTGGATTTGGTGATGGAAATTCTGTTGTTAACACTAACAAGATTTGATTCTAAGAGCAGAAAATAGAGAAGTAAGGAGGAGGTCAGACCTGAGAGCAAACTACAACTCTCAGCTATTAGAATAAGGAGAGGCAGAGAATAAGTGACCACAAAAAGATGTAGCATCAATGACTATGTCTTATCTATTTTCTCATCACTAGGACATAATACCCAATAGCCTCAAATTAAGGGAGGAGAGGGTTATTTTGCTCATAGTCTGTATAGATTTCAGTCCATAGTTTGCTTTGGTTCCAAAGTAGGACAGCGTGGTGGAGGGGAATAGTGGAGGGGCATAATGGAGGAAAGCCACTCGGCTTAAAGCATCCAAGAAGCAGAGAAAGCATCGATGGAGAAACTGGGAAGGGAGGTACAACCTCTGACATCACAAAATCTGTCTCAGTCACTTTCCACATCCCTGGGACAGACTGCTTAGAAGATCTGGGATTTGTGCTAGTAGGGGGAAATTCTGCCAGATCTTTAGAGGAGGGAGACACTGATAATACCAGACAATGCACAAGTGGAGGGGTGAATTTGAACAGTAGGAAAGATACTTCATCTTCTAAGACTGAAGAAGTAAATGTGGGTCCACTTAAGATTGCAAAGAAAGGTCAGGTATGGTGGTTCACGCCCTGTCATCCCAGTACTCAGGAGGCTGAGGCAGGAGGAGCACTGTGAGTTTGAGGCCAACCTGGGCCAAAAAATGAGTTCAAGGCCAGTCTGCACTGCATAGTGAAACCCTGTCTCAAAAAAGACAAAAACAAACAAACAAAAAATGATTGCAAAGAAAAAAATTATAAATTGAAGGTAATAGCTGGTGATATTCTAGATGGGGTAAACAGGATTATCTACCAAAAGTTTAAAAAAAAAATCAGATATTGAAAAATGCTACCAAGGAAAAAATCAAGGTAAAAACCAATAAAACTAGTTGCTTCTAAGAAAACAGAAGGTAGCATTGATACAGAGTTAAGGGTTTTTGAATAGGAAGGTAGTATGGTCAGAGGAGAGGGGACAAGATGGGAGGGGAGGGGAGGGGAGGAGAAAAGAAGAGAGGGGAAGGGAGAAGAAGGGAAGAGAGGAGGGAACAAGCAGCTCTAAATCACCAGAGAATGACCAGAACAGTCTTGAACCTCCTTTGCCGGTGAAAAGAGTATAGGTGAAGGGTGCCGCCGAGAGTTAGAGAACAGAAACAAGGAGTCGTCTGACGCTGCAGGAAAGATGAGTTCCCCTGGAAGTTACAAGATCGGTGCAGAAGCAGAGATAAGAGTCCAAAAAGCAGTAACTTCCCTCCCTTCGGGCCCATATTAGTGTAGGGAGTGGAGGAAGAGAGTGTGGAGGAAGAGAGTGTGGAGGAAGACAGCCACAAAAGACAGTGTGTCCTTAAGAGTTAAATTTCCAAATGGGCAAGAATATGAAAGGGAGAGTTCTCTGAAAAGAGGAGGACATAGGAAGTTTGTTCACAGTGGGAGAGAGTGGGCTCAGAGAAAGAGAAGTGGAGAGAAGGGGGCTGGTGGAGGCTTTGGGAAGAGGAAGGGTAGTGTAATGAATTAATGAGACAAAGAGGATGGCTTTCCATTCACTGGGAATCCTAGGATTTCAGGGCAGAGAGCATAACTGTAAATAACTATCCGCACCCACCCCAACATATTAACAGGTCGTTATACTGTCACAATTGGTAGATGGGTCCCTCATGGTGTATAGGAAGACCTGAGTGAGCTGACGCCTCTGTGAGTCAACAGTAAGGGCCCTGGACTTTCTGGAAGCCTGGACCAAAGGGTGCAAATGGCGACAGCATCCTGGTCCACACGAATATTGCCTTGCCAAGAAGACATTTACAGCCTTCTTAAAATACTGATATGCTTTCTGCAGAAAGGTATTTTACCTTTGCTTCCAGATAGAATCATAGCTATGCATAAAACTGTCATTCGTACCGGCCACATTTTAGTCTTTGCTGTAGCTTTGAAGGCATGCTTTGATTCTCTGAATGCCTGGCAAGAAAGAGCCTGGCAATTATATCCATAGGTACCCAGTAACAACTCACATGCTTCATTAATTATTGTTCAGTAGAAAAGAAAACACCAGTTACTTTAACAAGTCTCTATTTTCTGCCATTAAATATAGGTCATGTGGAACCAATATAGAATAAAATATCACACTTTGTGTCACAGAGCCTAGAGTCTAAGAAATGAGTATTTTAAATGTTTTCTCCTCATGAAGAACAATCACTTAGAATTACTCATTTTGTTGCTTCCAAGATAATAACACGTAAGAGTCAATTAAATTCCATAGGCATAGCAGGTAGAGATCATTTTCATTGACTTTTATTACTGCAGCCTGGGGTACTTTCAAAAGATTCTCATTTACTCTGTACAACTAAGCATAATGTATCACTATAGAGATCTATAAAGCAGAGATAATGTGACCCCATGTGTCTGGCCCCTAGGTGGTCAACCCCTCTCCATGAGATGACTCATTCTGCTGTTAAAATTTCAGACATTTCAAAAATGCCTGAAGAATTGGCAGTGAAATTTCCATTTACGACGGTACTTTGCTACCCTGGAAGCTTTGAGGAGGTAGTTTTGTACCAAGTGACGGCATCACTTAGAAAGTTTTTAATAGCCCAGATCATTATAGAAATGTACCCAACTGGGGTAGGAATCTTAATCAACTATAAGGAACTAAGAAAACACAACAGCTTACAAGATCTTTTTGATACTCTATTTCACAGTTTATCATCAGTAGACTGGCCAACTATTTGACAAAGAAAACCAAGCTGGGCTACATTTTTCAATATAGAGCTCTAACCTCTTAGAGCTTGTATTAGGGTACAGTCTAAGTGACTGAACCCATGTGAGTGTGCTGTGGCCTCTGTAACAAAGTACTACAGACCTTTTAAACTGGACATTCAAAAGGAAATGTTTGTGAAAATTGCCAATTTGAACCATTCTATCTGTACTGTTTTTCCTTTGTTTCCCGAGAAAGACATAGCCAAGAAAAATAGTTCCAGGAGGAAAACCTGTCTGAAGGTTACCTGCCATAATTGGAATGTGGAGACAAGTTTACAACCACCTCATTCCTAATTAAACCTACATCCTTCTGGAAAATTCAGCTTCTCTCCTATTACAACAAATTTGGAAATTAACATAGAACTCATTTGGTTCTTAAAATCTGCCTTAGCAATATTGTAAAGTTCTGTAGCCTAAGTACCTAGCTATGTAATTTCTTACCTCTGGGAAGAAAAACAATGCTAATACTGATGCTATTTTGATTGACAACTTAATTTCCACTCACATTTTAAGCCACTGCAAGCAGCTACCAAGAAAATGTACCAACTTTTGTGCACCTCACCTCATCTTGATTTCCAAAACACTTCCAATTTTAAAGTAGAAAATTGAAGCAAAAAAAGAGCAATAAGCTGATGATGAATTCCTGATTAGTGGTTTGTCTGCAGCGGGTACTCAATAAATAACAAGTCAAAAAGGACCGTCATATACCCACCATAACCCTAAGTAAATTTACTTCTTTCATGAACCAAAAAGTATCCATTCAAGTGACTCAAGGTAATCTTTTTAATTAATTGGCTTATATAGATCAACCTTGAAAGTCATTTAGAGATGCTATCACCTGTTATTCTAATAGCACTTAAACCACCAAGCAACAAGTTCTTTTGGAAGATAAAACATGATAGCAAAGCTTTTCAGCCACCTGCCAGCCCAGGAAAATCACTGAAGGGTTCTTTTACATCCTTAAATATTTTAAATGAATGAAGTATCTTCTTACCTCATGGTGTTCTCATTAAGGGTGATGTGAATATTGTGAAGAGACCCTCTAGCTGCAGTTGGTTCCCTATTCAATGAGCCTGGCATTCCCTGCCCTGGACTCAACCTCTGGTTTCCAGTGCATGCATTTGACTAGCTGAGCCTCTCTTCTCCTGGCATGTTTTAAATAGACTGGCAGCAAAATATCTTTTCCCAGCTCTGGGTTCTTCTTCATTTGCCTCTTGAGAACTATAGCTTCTTCTGTCCTTTCCTTTTCTCTCTGCCTCTCAGCTCAAGCATGCTAGGTGATGACCTGAAGATAGTCTCTCTGTAGTGAAGAAACAGATGTGAATAGATGGAAGCAGCAGGAAAGAGAATGCGGAGAGGGAAGAGAGGAGCAGCTGAGGTTCAGTTTTCATTATGTCACACTGGAGTTGGAGTCCCAAGACTTTGGGTTCACATTCCAAGTTCAAATTCTGGCTCTGATCCACTTTGAAGATGACATTATGTAATATAACAACTGCTGTTAATATCCTATCACTTTGTTTTGAAATTCTGTATCCTTTTATTGTTTTTATGCTGTTTTGTTTGTGTCTGTTTTTGTTATTTCGGGGTTTTTTTTTCTTTTTAAAGTGAAAAAAATATATGTTTATACAAGGATAGCTGGGATAGGTGTACTACTGATGTCTGTGGTTTATTGAAAGGCACAGTTAATATTTAAAATTTTCTTTTTTCTTGACCAATTTTGCATGCTTGTATCTGCTAATCAGAACAACTGATTTGAAGACAACAATATGAAGTATAAGAACCACTGTTGAATTCTTACCATCTCGTATGGTGAAGCTCTGCATCGTTTCCAATGTTTTTTTTTATTATTACTTGTTACTGGCTTTGATTGTTTGATCAATTTTGCATTCTCACATCTGCTGGACTGAGCAACTTCATTGACGATAACGATATGCAGTGCAGCAACCATTGTTAACTCCTATCATTTTGTTCTGAGGTCATGTATCATTTTTGTTGTTTCGGTGTTGCTTTTATTTTTGTCTTCATTGCTGTTTTGTTAGGTTTTTTCCCTTTAAAATAAAAAAAGATAAAAACAAAACAAATGAATTCTGGCTCTGGAACTTGACACTGGAGTGTCATTGGCAAATTTCTAACAGTTTTGAGTCTCAAGTTCCCCACTTGTAAAATGGAGGTAATAATGAAATCTACCACATAGATTAGTTAACTAAGATTGTGTGTGTGAAATGCGTAGCATGGTGCCTCACTCCTGGTAAGCAAGTGCCAGCGCTCATAGTATCAGTGGTTGTAGTTGCTCAGTGGCAGCTATTAGTGGAGTACTACTATTATTTGGGGAAATCTACTATAGTTTTATACTTTAAATGTACCACTTAGCTAAGAGTTTTTATTTCCTGAAAAACACATTTTCTCAACATTTGGTATTTTTAGAAATGTCAAACTTGGCAGTCCTTTTTCCACTCACATCATGAAACATTGGGACGCTTCTTTACTACCATCATACATGATTTTATTTTTTGGAGTTGCCTGATTTTCCCCGTACCTTAATTTACTTTTCATTGTATGTATCATTTCAAATCCAGGGTCCTCATAGAAGATCTTCAGAGAGCACTGGAAAACAAGAGCAGTCTGCAAACCCAGAGAAATAGAAGAGCCCTCCCTGAATATAATTATGAAGTTTATCACTCCTTAGAAGAAGTGCGTAATCAAAGGAACTTTTCTTGGCTTTTTACTAGTTTGTCTTTGCCATTTAGGCATAATGATTGGGAAAAACACAAAGGCAGACACTAGCACTGGGAAGAATACATACAACTCTTATATGACTTAAGCGGCTCAGTTCACACATCCCTTTCATTGAGCCTACATCAGAAGGAGCAAAATAATCTGAATTCCACCTGATTTTCCCAGGCTAGCCCTACAAGGACATAGGAAATGCAATGGAAGAGTGAGGTGATGTTAAATTCATAATTGTAAAGGCTTTCACTGAAAAGGCACAGGAAGTAGAGCCAGCCTGAGTTTCAAGGAAATGCTTTGGTTGAAGAGTATGTGAACATGCTGTTAGTTGTTCTATCTAGAAGACTCACAGAAACCTCATCCTCATCACCACATCCTTTACTGTGCATTTGACAATAGCTTTCTATTCTTCAAATACCAGACTGAACAAGAAGGTAGGTATTTCTACTCTCCCAAACTGGGCAAACCCCTCTGCCCACCAACCTCCAACCTGTCACCTAACCCTTGCATACAGAGGTGATACCTTCCACAGTTCTTAATTATGTATTGTATGACCATCCAACTAATGCCCTCCTGTCCTCATAAGCTGAAGGTTCTATGAGGGCAAACTATTTCTTCCTTGTTGATCACTATATCCCCAGTGACAGGCAAATGTAGTCCTCCAAATAGATAAGATAGACATTTTCTTAACAAAATAAACAAATCCGTATATTTCCCATATTTTCCCTGATTTAAACAAAAGAATACTGTTCCAGACCCAAATTAATGAGATCCTGCGACATTATTAAGAGTATTTTTTGTTCTTTTGATACTGACTCTCCTTTCAAAGTTGTTTTCACATATTTCATGACTCAATATACTTAGAAAATTAAAATTAAAAGCAAGAAACAGTTTCAGATACATTGGCACACAGAAATACTGTTAACATGCCTGAAAAAAGTCAAATTTAAAAATGCAATATAAACATACCTATATGTCTATATACATGTGTGTGCATACCCTGATTATCAGATTAAATAAGAACAGAATGAAAAGAAAATACATGTACTTCCCAAAATACTCTTCAGCACAGGCCCTTTAACTTCATAGAACAGTGGGACAATTTTGTGTTACTTTTTGTCAGAAATGTCACCTTTCTTTCTAAGCACTTTATTCATCTATCCCAAATATACCTTCTGAGGGGCTGGGGATTTAGCTCAGTGGCACAGTGCCTGCCTGGCAAGGACAAGGTCGTGAGTTCGATGCCTGGTACTGGAAAAAAAAAATATATATATATATACCTTCTCCTGATCACAGATAAGTGTGTACAAATGGATCAATGCAAATGGATCACTGTAGCTAGAGGAATTATTCAGGGTATGCCCTCCAACTTGGGCTCAAAATAACCTTTAAGTGCAAAAGATAATGTCTTTCTTTAATGTGTTTTATTCAGTGGCAAATTATAATACACAGAACTTTAACAATACTTTCATATAATTTGAGAGTTTTCCTGAAAGTTATATTTCTTTTCCTCTAACTACTTGTGTGAAAAATGGAAATAAATTCTCATTTTCAAAAAGAAACCAGACACATCCATTTTCTATAAAAAACTGTCATTAAGACATTAATGACATATGGGAGAGGTTATGCATTAAAGAAGGAAGAATATAAAGACAAACTACTACATGTAAAGGCAAAAAATAAAGTGTAATTTTATGTCTCCCAAAGAAAAAATAGAGAAAGTTGTTCCATTTTATACTTCATGTATATTTCCCGAAGTTGGAGACTTATTGTTGTCCTGTTACCTTTCATTCTCTAATATTTCTGCTATTGTGAGAGAGTATAACATAGTTTTTATTTATCTACTTTATAGATTCAGAGTTGGATGCATTATCTCAATAAAACTCATTCAGGCCTCATTCACATGTTCTCCATTGGAAGATCATATGAAGGAAGATCTCTCTTTATTTTAAAGGTAAAAGAAGAAACTGTTAAGCAAATATAAAATGTTTGCCCAACATTTATCTTTTTCAACTGTAACTTACAGGGAAAAAATGCAATGATCTTTCATAGTCTCCTGTAGCATCTCATAATTTAAGGGGAAAAAAAATCCCTCCACTTTTGAAGCCATATTTTATTTTTGCTATTTACTATTCCAGAGAATATTATTTCTTATATATCTATATAGTTATTGATTCAAACTATTTGCAAGTTGATGCTACCTAAGACAACCCAAGACAAAGCTATACACATGCTTAAGAAGGCATGCATTATCCCCCTGCCTTAATACTGCATTCTCTTCCAGCTACTGACCTATAGTTTTCCACCTGTCCTTAGCCAAATAGGTAAGAATATTCACCTATAGTTCAGCATCTCTATTTGCCTACTTCCTCTTCAGAATTTGACTCTTGTGCTCACAACTTCTTTAAAACTTCCCTTGGAAGGTCAGTGCTGACACCTAGTTGATTCTACTCCTATCTCTTTGACCATTTCTTCACGTCTCATTCACTGGCTCCTCTTTCTGTGTCCTTTCCTTAGGTTCTGGTTATCTTCAGGACTCTACCCTTGGCTCTGTTTTTCCTCCATACACCCTATCTAAATGGCTACCTCTGTTCCATATTATCAGTAGTCATCCCAGAATTTTCTGCCTATTCAGTTGAGCCCCCTCCCTGGAGCTTTAAATTCATACAGCATTGTCTACTTGACACTCTCACCTGGATATTCACAAAACCTCAGACTCAGAGTTGCACAACAAATATGATCTGAAGGTCTCCTCCTTTATTATAAGCACTCACTTCAAATGTACTTCCCAAAGCTGACAATTCTTTGGAACTCCCAACTCCCAACTTTTCACACATCCTTGCTGCTACTGCTCCAGTTTCTCTCTACCTGTGTTCCCTGGACTATTGCAACAGTAGCTTCAGTACTGAAATTCTGTTTGAGTCTCCATCCTTGAGGAAAAAACAGAATGCACGAGAAGCTGAACACAGAGCAAAGAACACATGAAGCCCCAGCATACGATGTAAAAGAGATGAAAATGCATCCTAAATTCCATCCGAGGATTCTGCATGTAGATGTGCATCCTTGACAGTCTTATACTCTAACCTATCCTCTACACTGCTGTTAGTGTGAGCTCTCTAACACAAGCATGCAGGCACATGCATGCACAGAAGCTGGAACTTGTTTTCTGCTCTTTGTTCAGCTTCCTGTGCTGTTCTTTCCTCAAACAACAGAAGCAGTTCCTCAAATACAGTATCACTTCCAAGCTTAAGATAACTTCCTCCAACTTGTCTACTAGGGAAGCTTCCAGTCTTGTTCAAGTACCCTGCTAAAAAAAACCTTCTTTTACTCAACAAGAAAATTTAACATTACATCTCTTGCTAAGGTAATTTATGGTTATTCACATCATAAATGTTGATTGAATGTTTACCTGTCTGCCCTCCCCATCAGGCTACAGTCTTTGTCTTTCATCTTTGGCTCTCCAGGGCTGAGCCCAATGTCTCACATTAAAAAGGATTTCCAGAAGTGTTAGTTGAGAATTAATGAAGGGATGAAAACTAGATTCTCTATTAATACAATGCGAAGAGCTACCTCTAAGATTAGAAACCAGATTAGAAGTAATGCTGATGTAGTAGGATTTTTTTAACCTACCACTTGATGCTATATATCAAGTTGTTTTGTTTGCATTTTGTGATTTAATAAATTTTGACTTTATCCACTAATAAAATATAGCTATTCCTTAAAAAATTATTCCTTGGGGACATTTCTGATTCTCTGAGAGGAAAAAGACAGGCAAATAGAAACAGAGACAAGAAAGAAGTGAAGAAAGGAGAAAGGAAGGAAAAATTTGACTTTTGATTTAAGAGTCATGTACTGTATCACAATGAAAAAGCAACCCTCATTTAGGATTACCCTTCTGCTTGTGTATCCTCTAGTTCTATTGTAATTAAGGCAACAAGTTTATTTTTCCTGCATAAACAAGCCTGGATCTTCAAAGTAGATAAGATATCTCTTTATCTTTTTATCTTTATCTTGTTAGTTAATGAACAAAACTACAGTGAAAAATTAGGCTAAAATCTCCTTAAATTATGCTGGTCAGTGAATCCAACAAAAGCCTGTGTTGGTTATTATGAATACTCTTGTTTTCAGCTGGGCAGGAGATCACGAGCCTACAAAAGAGCTGTCTGGATAGACTGTGGTGTTCATGCCAGAGAATGGATTGGGCCTGCCTTTTGTCAGTGGTTTGTAAGAGAAGTAAGTTAAACCCTTCATGCAGTGTCCATTTCAGCTAACCGGTAGTTCCATTTGTTTTTATTCTGCCCAAGGAACAAAGTGCGAATTTGAAGCCAGTGATACCTAATTGAATGATAACAACACCTTGATTGTGTTGGCTGCTTTCGTGTTCATGAAGACTTCCAAAATTGTGGTTCAACTTATCTTCACTTCTGCCCTTCAAAGCTGGCTTTATCAGCTCTATTTGAAAAAAAGATGAGGTTCAGAGCCTTTATGAATTTGTAACAAATTAGGAAATAGCCACGGGACTAGATACATGGCAGAAGGCTAAAAATACAAATTGTGGCATTCTAATTTCCTTAATAGTATACGCAATTCAGAAAGTTCTATAACGTCCTCCTCCGAGTGATCTCACATATGCTATAACTGTGAAGAGATGAACAAATGGCTGTAGTATGTCCTCCTATAAATGTATAATTTGGAAACCAAAAGATCTTTAGCATTTGTGGATTTAACATTCTCAATTTCAGTTTTCTTTTGGCAACCTGTTGATGACTCATAGTGACTTCTCGTTTTCTAAACTTTTTTTTGAATCAAGTGTCCTTGGAGCTAGGTTTTTAAGAGGGGTCCTTATCCTAAGAGTGAGCTCACGTTATGGACCAATACCTTAGTATGTTCTGATTATTTTCTATATGCTTTCAGGAATGTAATGGATTTTATGATTTTATTTGGTTTGGTTTTAACCTTGACTTATAGTTTTGGAAACAAAACAACAGCAAAAAGTTTTAAAAGAAAAATAGCCACTAGTTCTAGTAATGAAAGTGAAGGAGTATAAGGCAGTGAAGGTTTTTGAGCCAGAAGAATAACCCTACACATTTTTTAAATCTTATGCTTACAGAGAACAATTAAATATAATATATTTCAATTATATTTAACTGGGTTGTATGGGAGAATTATGTGCTGTAGTGGGATTTGTGACTTAAAGAACTCCTATGTCTTAGAAAATATACTTCACAAGTGTTAAAATGTACTAAATTTGTGTCTTACTTATTTTCTCCTTGCTGAGACAAAACACCCAGCACCCAAAGATAAAGGAGGGGAGATTATATTTAGTTCACCATTTGTAGAGGCTTTAGATAACAGATGGCTGGCTCCAAGGCAGTGTGGCACAGCAGAGGGACATCGTAGAGAAGAAACAACTCATGCCAGGCAGAAGGCAGCAAGTAACAAGCAGCGACCCTCTTTCTGTTCCTTATATCCTCTCCAGACTACCAGCTTAGAGCAGGTAGCACTTACACCCAGAGTGGGGCAGTGCTAATTCTAACATCACACCATGAATCAATACCAGCATCACATCCTTGATCCCAGCATCACACATCATAGATCCCACCACCTCCAAAAAACTCCACCTATGAGCACATGAAGTTTTGGAGGGACATCTAGATATAAGCCATAATAATTTCCAAAGTCTCTCTCTGTCACCACAAAAATATTCTTAATTTTGTGAGTATCATATAAGAAAATTTTCAGTTTAGAATACTGAGTAATCACATTCTCCGAAAACACCATTTCATCCCGCTAAAGACAAATGCAAAATCTGTAAAGAAATTGTTAATTCTATTGTATCGAATATTCAATGGATACATAGCAATGTAACATCTACTATTTCTAATTTTAGGGAGAAAAATAAAACAAACAGTTAAGTAGAAAACATCTGTTGCTTACTGTAATGATCAATTTTTCATCACAGGACCAAAATACCCAATATACACAACCTAAAGGAAGAGAGAATTAACTTGTCTTAGGAGATTTCAGTCCAGGATCAGCTGGCTCCAAATCAGGAACATCATGGCAGAAGGGCACAGTGGAGCAGAGCTCCCCACTTTGTGGTGGATGGGAATCAGGGTAGGAAACAGCACTCAAGAGTAATGGTCCAGGGACCAGATATAGTACCCGAGGTAATACCAGGACCCACCTAGTTAGCAATCTCATTGAATTATCATGCTTATAGAATATAAGGTCTTCGGTATTATTAAAGGGCATAAGAATATATCTCTTAGAAATTCTAGCTAAAGTTTTACTTCACCCCCGATATATGCAATCTCATCTTTATAACATCTAAATTTACCTTGTTTATGAAGTTACCATCAGTCTTATTCCTGTACCAACTCCAAGGGTAGAGACTCTGTCTATCATGTTCACTGACAAATGCTTAGCATATAACAATACCTGGCACTTAAGAGGTATTCAACTATTTATTAATGAATAGGAAATATAACAATCCAGTAGTAATGATGTGGAAAGATTTCTGGGCAATGATTTGTCAAATCGACTCATAGAATATATGGTACCACCCAGGCTTTTGCAAAGCACAATGTGTATAGCCGTATATAGTAGCCCTGTAACCTGAGCTAAATTTCCCAAGAAAAGAAGAATGCAATGTAATCAAAAGAAAGGAAGGGACATGTACAGTGACTTTTACCTGAGACCGGCTGATTTTGGATCACAAGCAAGAAGCATCAGTCAGACTTCAGTCAGCATAGGTGAGGCTTTTCTGAGCTGGCTAGATATAGAGTGTGTGATACTGGGATTAAGGGTGTATAGTACTAAATTAGTCCACTGATTGGAATTAGCATAGCTGGAGGTGGCTAAATGTATTTACTGAAGACAAAAGCCCCACCCTCAGTGTGGGTGGCATCACCCAAAAGGTTTGCAGCCTGTTTGACATAAAAGGTAAAGGAAAGCTTGCTGCTGCTGCTGCTGCTGCTGCTGCTGCTGCTGCTGCTCCTTGCTGCTCCTTGCTGCTCCTTGCTGCTCACTGCCTTCTGCTTCCCATACCATGGTATGTTTTTCTCCTGCGATGCCCCATGCCATGTTGCTGTGCCTTGGGACCAGCCAACTATAGACTGAAACCTCTAAAACCTATGAGCTGAAATAAACTTTTCCTTCTTTAATTTTGGGTGTTGAGTGTTTTGTCTGTTAATGAGAAGACACCGGGGGTGTAGCTTCGGTGTATTATCCATGAGGCCCTAGGTTCAATCCCTGGTATTATTTTTAAGGCATCAGTTAGAATTAGGCTCCATTTCCACAAGGACATAAGGAGAGGCTTATCCCTCCTTTCTCCTCCACAGGCTGTCTTCCATGAAGATGAGTCAAGCCACTTCTCTCCTCCTGTACCCTCCACACCCCTCTTTCACTCTACCTGATTGTGGTTGCCACTTGCCTCTCCACTTTACCACTTAAATTTCCCATCTGGGTTAAGCCAGAAACCAGAAATAGAAAAATGGAAACCTGAAGGTCACTTACCCCAATGTCTTTGTAAAGCAATGCGGCTGCCACAGTATGACAGCCATGTGGTAGCAGTGACCAGAGGAAGTCAATATTTACCCATTACAGCCTTGTAATAAAAAGTTTTCATCTGGTTTTGAACCCTCCCTTTCCATTGGTGGAATTATTGAGGTGAGGAGAATAGGAATACCAAAGATTTAAATACCTTAAAGCAGCCAAGAATTGGTATATCATCTCTTTCACACCCACTCAGTTCCTTAGTTAAGTCCTCCATCTTCCAAGTGTAGCTCATCCCGGAGGGGCTCCATACCACAGGATCACCTTCCCTCTTATCCAGAAGTCCTATGTCTGGCTCTGAGCTCTCATCTTCTCTGTTTTCCATGTCCCCTCTGGGAACATCAGGGAACTTCTGCCCACTTGGAGCCCAGGAGACTATAGGATGCCATATCTACACTGCACCCAGCTGACACATGCTATGAATGCTTGCTGTATTTATCTTCTTTTAGGCTCATAAGAATTATATGAGTAGAGATCTTTTTCTACATTTTTACCTCAATCTGTCCGTGGTTCTTGTCATCTCTCATTTCCCTTAGAGTTTCAGCCTCAAGAAAAAGGACTGCATCAGAAAACAAAAAAATATGGCTTCTTGCTGACTCTTTCTCTATTTATTGAGTGCATTTTCCCGACACTCAACAATGTAAAACAAGAAATATTTATTATTTCAGTTTCTGTGGGTCAGCAATCCAGATGCAACTCAGCTGGTGCCTCTGACCTAGGGTCTCTCACAAGGCTACAGACAAAATGCTCAGTTGGAGCTTCAATCATGAAGACATGTGGCATGAGAAAGAATTGGGCTTTCAAGCTCACTTATGTGGCTGGTGTTAGTTGCTGTCATGTGGTCCTCTCCCTAGGCAGCTTAAATCAAGGCACCTGGCTTCACACGAGTGAAGGAGAAAACAAGAGAAAGCAGCCCCAAGAGCTCTCTGTAATCTAGTCTCAGAAGTGACTCTTATCATTTTTGTCATGTTCTGCCATTAGAATTTAATCACTAGCTCCAGGTCATACTCTAAAGCATTGGTGGAAAACCTATGGCACGCATGCTACAGCCAGCTGTTTGTTAAAATCGAAAGTTCTAAAAGGTTCACCATCGCTGCTCTAGAGGAAGGGATTAAATACAAAAAGAGAGAAATCATTTGGGACCACCTTTGAGGCTGCCTACCACACTTCAATGGGCTTTTCCCATAGTCACAACTATAATGTTTGCATCCTTACTCAAATGTGAACTGGAAGAACCTTATCAACCCTTCTAAAATATCGATAAAGCAGCAGGTTGCATAGGGATTATATGAGCACAGAAGTCTGACAACTCTGCATTGGAATGCCACCTCTGTCTCTTACTAACCATGTGATCTTGGTGGGAAACTGCTCAACCTCTTTGAGCCTCAGTAAAATAAGAACATGTAATGCACTAGGTTATTGGCAGGACTGAATGATATAATAATATAAAAGACTTAAGAGAATGTTTAGCGTATAATGAGCACTTAAATAAATGAGCTCTTCTACTAACATCAGCAAATTGATATTTTTAAATAACTCATGCAAAAATAACAATAAAAAGGAAACCAACAAGATTATAAAATAACAATGCTATCAAAAATGATCTAATAAATATTTATAGCACATCCCCCCCAACAACAGTAGCATGTATTATTTCCCCTGCCAATTAAACATCT